CTCTCTCTGCCCCTCCCCCTGCTCATGTGCTCTGTCTCTCAGTCTCTCTCAATATAAATAAATAAACATTAAAAAAGTTAAACACAGAGTTACTCTATGACCCATCAGTTCTAATCCTGGGTATATATCCAAAATATTTACAGCACATGTTCACATAAGATGTGTATACAAGTGTTCATAACAGCATTATTCATAACAGTAAAAATGTGGAAACAAGCCAAATGTTCAACTAATGAATGGATAAACAAAATGTGGCATATCCTTACAATGAAATATTATTCAGCCACAAAAATGAATGAACTATTAATGCATGCTACAATATAGATGAACCTTGAAAATATGCTAAGTGAAAGAAACCTGACACAAAATGCTACATTTCTATGAATTCATTTTATATAAAATGAATTTGTTATGGCAGGAATAAAGAAAAACTAATATAACTGTATATGGCATCGTTGAATCACCATATTTTACACCTGAAACTAGTACAGCACTGTATGTTAGCTATATTGAGATTAAAATTTAAAGAAAAGAAAAGAATGTAACTGTGAAAGCCAGAGTGCTTTTTCTAGGCAACAATTTAATGCTACCACGTTTTGATCAAGTAAAACTAATTTTGTGGAAGTAATTTAATGCACTCTTCAAAGAGTTCCAAGGTTTCACTTCCGTTTGATGAGAACCAAGATTGAAGCACAGCGAGCTTCCCATGAGAAGGACACGGAAGCATGTCCTTCAGCATGTCTCCCAGCAGGCAAGGCCCCCAGAGTATATCTGTGACCCTTTGCCTTAGAAGGACCCTGGCCAACATCAAGTGAGCTTGATTTCCTGCTTTGTCTCTACCTTGTATCAGTCATTCAGCACCTTTGTCAAGTGTATTCCAGAGAGGTCATTTGTCTGTTCCTAAGGAAATTCCAAATTAGTAAGACCCTAGCCTTAATTAACCCGCAGTAGTGGTAGAGATGCATATAAATTTCCTACCATATGATAAAGACCAATCATTTAACATTTCAGCAGAGTAGAAATGTCAGGGAAACCCTATGTGCCTTGAAATTTTCCTTTCCAGTTGAGACTTAAAAAGGTGGATTCTGGATGATTCCTGAAACCTGACTGAGAAGTATCTGAAGGGAAGAGGGGCAAGGAGGGAAAGTAAAGATGGAGGATGGCACTGGGCACAACGTAACTGGTTCTTCTTCTAAAGACAATCAGTATTTAACCTTAACTTTGATTCCTATAGACGATGTAATTTGGAGCAATCCATGAAATTCTTCTGTGCTCTTGTTTCTTCGTATAATATAAAGATAATAATAACACCTATTTCATCTGATTATTTTGGTGATTAAATAAGGGACTATGAAGTGCTTAGCTGAGGGCCTGGTACAACTTCATAATTATTCAAGCCCATTAGGTCCCTCCTCACCCAATTGATTCTGGAGGCATCTGATGAAATAAAGCTGGCATGCTATGTTTTTAATGAGGATTCCTGCTTGGAGTTAAAAACTTAAGGCCTTTTGGAGAATTTTATGATAGTTATAGTTCACTGTTTTTCTTATGTATCTTGGATGGCTCTCTCTCAATCTGTAACTCTAAATCTGGGGCTATTAGTAGAATTCTAAATGTTTACTATTACCAATAATGCCAAACACCAGTTAAGCCATCTCATCTACCCTTGCTGGGCTCATCTGTCATTAATCCTATATATGCAATTTATACTTTTTTAAAAAGTTTATTTCCTTTTGAGAGAGAGCCAACAAGCAGGAGAGGGGCAGAGAGGGGGGGACAGAGGATCCCAAAAAGTCTCTGCACTGACAGCAGCAAGCCCAATGTGGAGTTCAACTCATAAACCGTGAAATCATGACCTGAACTGAAGTTGGATGCTCAACTGACAGAGCCACCCAGGTGCCCCACAATTTATACTTTTAATATAACAATGTTGACTCTCCAACACTATGATTCAGAATAATTCCAGATTTCCAGATCTTAATAAAATGATATAAAAGCCATTAGCTTTAAAGCCAGAGCTTCCCTCCTACACATTCCAGAAGGTTAATACTATTTTTTATTCTGGCTGGCATGAATATTTATTGGCTCATAAAGTCATGCTGAATAACATGGAACTGAAAACAATACAGACTTGCCTAGTGGCCCACCCCCTCTCCAGTATAATTCCTGATTATGGAGACTCTTGACCATTGGAGGAAAAATTTGACATAAAAGGAGTGTTTGAAATACGAGTTAGCTGATTCATTATGCTCTGAATTCAAATAGATTTTTACACGTCATTAACAATGTCCAACCAGTTAGTTACCCATATTTTGGTCATTTCACTTATAATATTTTCCCTTGATTTCTATCTATTAACGCTATCACTTGAGTAGCCTTGCAGTCTTCAAATTAAAATTGCCTGATCCTCAATTCATCAGAGTAACATGAATCCAGGATCTTTCAAGGTCATCCTTCCACATTATCTAAGAACCCCTGATATTCCCTCATTCTAGAAAGGCTTAGTCCTGCTTCTGGATGCGTCTCAGAGAGCAGCTGGAGAATCAGACTGAGGGAGCTGCCAGACAACGCAGCTTGAAAATGACTTCCTGTTCTTGTCGATTCTATACTCTGCTACGTGTTTGTGCAGTGTTTCTCTTTCTGGTTCTGGTGTTCAGACCTTATCAGTGCTTGGGATAATAAAAATTGGTTCACAGTGACATGTTGAGGTCTTATTCTCAAGGCAGTCCACATCGACTTCTCTGAGTCCACGTGTGGCTGATGAGCCAGGAGACGGCGTACTCTACACTGCTTTCCCTCACTGAGATTCCCCTCTTGGGTGGTCTTCACTTTCTTCTCCTACCAGTAGATATCAGTTGAGACTCTGAATCTGGCAGATCTAAAGATGTACAATCCCAAAAGAGCTGGGAACGTGGTAGAATTGGTAACCCCAGTTTCCTTTTATAAGGCTTCTCGATGTCCATGAATACATTCTCATATTTCCCCACAATGATCAGATCTACATACCATGTTGTTATTTGGAGAGGCTGCCTTTGTCAAGCACAGAAAGGGCCTATTACTCTCCCCCAGGGGCATCAAGGCCCAGTTGCTCAACGGTTACATAATTGAGAGTCTTTCCAGTGGTCTCCCAGAATAGGTTGCAAGGGAACTTGCCATATCTACCAATTGCTAGAGCAGATTTTAAAAGATATCTTGTCTGGAAGGAAAGAAAACAAATATTAGCATTCCAGCTGGAATGCTATGCAAGGACACTATGCAAGGAATGCACAGAAAAAAATTCAGTGAAGGGTAAGTCTTAGAGTTAGCCTGATATCTATCAGATTTAATCATGATTCTGCCATTTAACAGCTGTGTGTGTGCAACAAGTAACTTGATCACTCCGAGCCCATGTAATGGTGCAGTTAAAAAGGATCCGTGGCTTTGAGTCATTGAGGAACAGAGAGTATTAGCTTAAACCAATTAGAGTTTTCATTTTTCTTCCATAAGAAGTACATAAGTTAGCAATTGCAGACATTGGTTCATAGCTCAAGATGCCCAAGGACCCCACATTTCTCTTGGTGTTTCCCTCATCATTGCAAGACGACATTTACATGGCTAGCTGGTGGATCCCATCTCAGGCAGTAGCCAGGAGAAGACAATGGGAAGAAGGACACGTCAGTGCTGGTTTCAGGAAAGCAAGAGCGTCCCAGAAATCCCTAGCCGACTTTGGTTGACATTTTATGGGCCAGACTGTGCCACATGGCAACTCCTAACTTCAGGAGAGTCTGGGAATGGGAATTTTAGCTTCCTAAAGTATTAGGAGACACTGAAAAGTGGGTGTAGTAGTAGGGGTGGAATAAATCAACCTGCCCTATTGGGCACACGAGCAAAGACCCGAATTAAAGACGATAGCAGCAAGATGAAGAACTATGGACAGGATTGAAGCTAGAGCCAACAATGTTCTTTGAGTAACTGAGAGCGGGTGATGATGGGGGGGGGGGGAGAGGGGGGCGTAAATCAGGAGCCATATCTCATTTGTTTTTAAGTAGCTTCCTGAAAAGTCCAATAAAGTCCTCAAGATGAAATAGACTGTCAAAGATTGGTCCCCAAATGATGCTCAGAGTTGTGATTCTGTGGGCATATAGCAGGACCCTTGACCCCACTTCAGGGAGCCAGGCCTTGCAGAATCGTGGGAACTACCTGTTAGCGCTTGCTTGACTTTTAGGCAAAACTTAGGCCAAAATATTTCTTTCGGGACCTTTTCCTGTCTTCAGTTAGTGCCTTTATGTTAATGACTGATTCAAACACAAATTCAGTCACTTTGTATTAAAAGGTACTTTCATGGCATAAATGGGATAGATAGAGGGCTTGATTACCTCTGGAATCCATTCAGGGGCATTGGTGAGTGAGCTTGGCTTCCATGAGAACCAGTGGGTCAGTCTCATGGAGCCCCTTTTACACGGGTATCCTATTATTTAACAGGCACTTTAAATTGAGACCGGCATCCTGATTCTCAAGCAGCCTGGCTTTTATGGGAAGTCTCTGCCACGTTCAAACATCTTTAATACATTTTAAAAATAGAATTGTAAAAGGCAGCAACCAGACTTCAAAGCATAGACATGTTGGCCAGAATTGTGAGGCTGGCGACAATTTTCGCTGGTTGTAAAGCTTGTGGAGCCTCTTTCAATCCCCAGAACAACTGACGAGCAAGGAGCTCAGTGTACATTCCTCCTGAGTGTATCCCAGATGGGCCTGCGCAGACCAAGTGTGGGACACAGAGCTGGCAGAATAGGGAACTAACATGCCTCTCTCAGGTCAGAGCAATCAGGCCCCAGCAGAGCTGTGAGAAACTGGGTCGAACTGAAAAGAAACGAAACGTGAGAGGGGACTAGCCACCCTTGCTGAGCTCTGGTTCCTCACATTCCTCATTTCCTGCCCAGGTTTTCCTTCTGCGTGAAGACTCCAGACATCCTCTGCCCTCAGGTTAACTCTCTTTCTCGCCCTCTCTGAATCCTGTACAGAGGCTCATTCCACATCGTATTCTGTCTCCTACTGCCACCTCTGGACCGTGAGCACGTTGAACACAAGGCCTGTCTCTTATTCATGTCGTGTACACAGCAAATTAAATGTGTGTTTCAAGAAAGTTGAGTCTCGTGGGAGAAGCTGGTCACCAGGATCTGGGTTGGGAAAATTATGAAGGAAGGCTGTTTGCCTTCCCCGAACCAGAAGCAGAGGTTCCCAAAGTGTGGTCTCTGAATCAGCAGTACCAGCATCACCCGGGGGCTCGGGACATGCATGTTCTCGGGCCTGGCCCTAGACCCACTGAGTCAGGAAGTCTGTATGAGTCGGGATGCTCCAGAGAAACAGAAACAATAGGATGTTTATAGAGAAAGATGTATTACAAGGAATTGACTCATGCGACCATAGCAGCTGACAAGTTCCAAGACCTGCAAGGTGAGTCTGCAAGCTGGAGACCGGGGAGACCAGTGGCTTCCACCTGAAGGCCAGCAGGCTAGACACCCAGGAAGAACTGATGCTTAAGCTCGAGTACCAAAGCAGGGGGGGGAAGCCCATGTTCCAGTTTTAAGACAAGTCAGGCAGTGAGGAATTTCAGAAACCCACGTTTTAACAAAGTTTCCGGGTGATTCCATTGCCCACCAAAGTTCAAGAATCACTGACAAACTTTCCAAATCTCTGTTTCCTCATCTGTAAAATAAAGCTAATAAACATGACCTCAAAGGGCTGTTCCATTATAAAATTAGATGACGTGTGTAGAGTGCTTATTCCAGAACCTCATGCATATTCATCACTCAGTAGGATAATTGCAGGGCAAACATATTTTGGTTGACTTCCTTTTGCTGGAATTGACTTTTGGAGAGTATTTCCAATATTGGCATCACCCCATGGTACATTTGGGTTACTCATACAAGAGTTTCCTTTGGTTCATCTAAGGTTCCAAGTTTACCTAGCTAAGCCCTGTCCTTGCAAAGTCCTTGTAACTTGGCCTGAGCCAAGCATGAATCCTGTTTACCTCATTAGGCCCTGACCCTATCCCTCAGGCACCAGACAAGTCGGATCTCAGGTGGCCATAGCTGTTTGTGCTGTAAAAACCACAATCATCTGGAGCCCCAGCTAGCCTAAGCGGGAAAGGAGGGGACCTCAAAGAATGGCTCTTAGAAGAAAGTTGAAGCAGAGAAGGATCTGAGGCTGGTCCCCCTTTCCCAGAAGCTGCTACACAAAGCCCTCTATGTGGGTCGTGCTGAAGCACCACAGGGGTGGTTGAAAACAACCAAGCTTCTCGAACTTCAGGCCAATGAAATCCCTGTCCTGCCACTCTCAGAGAGATAAAGCTTTGAAAATCATCATTATTATTATTATTACAGTTCTTTTAATGAGCCAGCAATGTCTGCCTGCCCCCCCCCCCCCCCCCACTGATTTCCATTCATTTTCCTGTCACAGCCCAGTCTTTGAAGCTGGCATCTCCCCAAACAGGTAAAGATGTAGCACCCTTCTCTGCTGGGCTGACCCTTCCTGGAGAGCCCCAGCGGGGGTGAGGTACCACCTGGCGGGACTTTTCTCATTAGCCCTGCTGGCAGCATGAGTTCCAGCCTGGTCAGCCTTAGGCTCTAAGCAAAAAACTCCAAATATTTTGCTAGAAATTAGTTAGAGGTGCTCAGAGTGTGACAACTAGTTTATTACTACTGAATCTCCTTTGTCTGAAACTGGCAGAAATGGGAAAGGGGTGACCACCACACTCAGGTGACTGGGTAGAAGGAAGTAGCCAGGGGAGAAGCCAACAATTGAATCCTTGCTATGACTGTGACTTGATCCCCATTGGCTAACTGGCCACTAAAACAAATATTGGAAACAAGTTTGAAAAGGCCACTAGCTGAACAAACAGTGCGAGGGCCATAAAAGCCAGAGTATCATTTTTGCAACAAAATACTTTGTTTGACTTGGGACTACAGGATAGACAAAGATGACTGAGTCATGGCCTCTGCCCTCAAGGAGCTTGCAATTCAATATGGGAAATAAGACACCTACCCAGGTGTGCCTGGGTGGCACAGTTGCTTAAGCATCTGACTTCAGCTCAGGTCATGATCTTGTGGTTTGTGAGTTTGAGTCCCACATTGGGGTCTACACTGACAACACAGAGCCTGCTTGGAATTTTCTTTCTCCTTCTCTTTCTGCTTCCCCCCTCTCGCCCTGCCACTTATTCTCTCTCTCTCTCTCTCTCTCTCTCTCTCTCTCTTTCTCTCTCAAAATACACAAATTAATTTTAAAAAAGAGACACAAATGTTACAAAAACCTGAAGCAGACAAAGATCAAGGAGAGACATTTAAACAAAAATACCATAGGCATTCAGAGAGAAGAGACTTCTGTCTGGTCAGAGATTGGGAAAGGCTTCATGGAGGAGGCATTTGAATAGAGCTTTAGAAGATATACTAATGTATTTCAAAAGAGAAAATATAGGAGACCCTGGTGCTTGTCTCCTTGTGTCGGTCAGCTTCCCCATTTACTTCTTTCCTAGAAGAGCCAGCCTTCCAGTTTAGAGAGGGGCAATGCCAGATATTCACTTTCTGAGTCTTCCTTGAAGCAAGAATGTAGCCTTTTGACTCAATGTTGAGTAACGGTACTGAATAAAAGCTGGCTAGGGGGCCTTTGGGAAAAATTTTATATCTTGATTTTTAAAAAATGAACAGAAACTGTCTTTCTCACTGGCTTGAACATTGTCTCCCCAGGATGTGCCGCTTGGAGCTGTGGGTACCGTCTTGGTATGTGGGGAGAAAGCAAGAGAATTATAGAGAAGCAAATTTTCATCCTGGACATAACCAATCCCAGAACCCCCTGCTTTTTGACTTTTTTTACATGCAATTACAATTTTTTATCATTATGCCCACTTTTTATTGGATATTCTGTAACCTGCAGCTGAAAGTATCCTAAGTGATACACTAAGATTATGGAAATCCATTCAAAAAGGGAGAACATAAGGAGCAAAGATTAGGCCAAGTAGCTGATGCTTATTTTGTCAAATGCTTTTAGAATATGGAGAGGACTAATATAAAAAAAAATTCCAGGAGAATTCTCTGACTAGGATAAGGAATATGATTTTACTCTGAAGTAACAGTGGGGAGACCTGAAAAGCATTTAAGCAAGTTACTGCCCTTACAGAGCAGGGCAATAGGAAACTTAATTCCCAGGCTGAGCTAAAAAGGAAGAGAAAGACAGGGAAACACGTAGGATTTCTTTTACAAAGAATCTGACTTGGGTTATCAAGCATGTGTTCGCATTGCACTCCCCTGAGGAAGCTTTTTAAAGTCGTGAAATCTGGGTTCCTCCCCCAGAGCTACTGATTCAGTTGGTCTGGGCCAGGGAGCTGGCTTGGTTCTGTTGTTGTGTAAGCTCACTACATGGCCCGCTGTGCAGCCACTGTTGAAACCCCCGCCACGGCTGAACGGGGACCGTGGCGAAGGAAAAGAAGACGGGAGAGAGACCGTGGAAGCAGAATGGGCAGGACGTAGGAGCCAAAGAAGAGGAGAGAGTCAGAAGTCTCAAAGACCTCTTTCAATATGGAGTGACTGGGAGAATGACAGACCCTTTATGGAGATGGAGAAGCCCGGAGAAGAAGTAAGTTTAAGGAAGACAAGTTCCATTTGGAAATACTGAGTCTGAAATGCCAGGAGCAAGCTCTGGCCTGTATAGAGAGAGCTGAGGTAAGATTACTTACATTGGGGGATTGCTGATGCTTTGAAAGGTGTCGATGGGACCATGGGAAGAGGGAGCCTGGAAAGAAAGAAGAGGACCAAGAACAAAACCTTGAAGAACATTAAGGAGAAAGGGTAAAGAGAGAACATCCCCAAAGAGAAGCCACTTTGTGGAGTTAAAACTGAACGCTTCTCATACACTTAGACTCATGTATTGATGCACAGGTTGCTGGTGGAGATTAGACATCAAATGTGAGGCGGGAGTTGTTACAGAATAATTCAATAAAGCTGCCCACCCCTCCTATCCAACAGCATGGCTGAGTTGGAACATGAAGTTACTGTCCAGCCTTACCTTCACAATAGAAAAAAAAAATACTACCCCTAAGAGTAAAATTGATATTCAACTGCTAAAAACCAGTGGAAAAGGTTTCAATTAATATTCTTATTCAAATGAATAAGTTCCATGCCTTAAAAAAATTTTTTTTTTGTAGTTTTTGTTTATTTCTGAAACAGAGAGAGACAGAGCATGAGCGGGGGAGGGGCAGAGAGAGAGGGAGACACAGAATCTGAAACAGGCTCCAGGCTCTGAGCTGCCTGCACAGAACCCAGTGTGGGGCTCGAACCCACAAACCACGAGATCGTGACCTGAGCCGAAGTCGGAAGCTTAACTGACTGAGCCACCCCGGTGCCCCAGTTTCATGCCTTTAAAGAAAACAAAAATCAAACTTGTTCTTCTCCCCCACCAATGAGACCACAGGTCTGACAAACAGCTGGTCAGGACTAGGAGACTGAGATTTCCTCCTCAGAAGATTTTAAAATGCCTAAAACTCTTCACTCATCTTAAATAGCTTTGGACAATACATCTTCCAGACCTCCCCAGTTCACTGTCATAGTAAATTTGAGAATACTTGGGACCACTGAGTAATAATAGTATTGCATGAATTATTGTTATTTAATGACATTCATTTCTACCTATTAATTACTAGTATTAATGAAATAATACTGATTCAATTAATTCTATTAATTATAATACAGTTATAATCAGTATTAATTATAATGTATAATTAATATTATTAAATATCACCATCACGTAGATGGAGCCAACATTTGTTAAATAAAAACTTCCTTAGGAATGTAGCTCTTGAAACTCAAGCAGGTAGAATGAACCTTCTTCAGATGGTATGGAAATGGTTTCTATTATTTCGCTTTCTCTCCGCAAACCATATCATAAAAGGTATACAAGGTGGTGATGACGTTTGTGGGATAATAGAAAATCATAGGCATGTTTGTGAAAGTAGAGTTTCAGGCAGTTTCTATCAGGGTAAAGGAAGAAACTGCAGAAGTTATCAGGTACTTTTATAATTAAATTTAGCATC